GAAAGAAAGAAAGAAAGAAAGAAAGAAAGAAAGTCCAACTGTCCTGAGTTGTGCATCTATAAATAGCTCACAACCTTTCCATTGTATTTCATTCTGGATAGATGTGACGCTGGTCTTTTTATAGCCTGAGTGCTGAGTCTGAAGTTTTCCTTAGCCCTGAAAAATACGATGATGATCGACCCAAAAACAGTTGGACTGCAGCCATATAGCAGTTCCTTTTCCCTTTCTTTCTTCTCATTAACTCCCGCCTTGCCCTTAGGATCAACACTTGAGAAAACGTCACCGATTGTTCACTTAATAATAACTGAGTTTGAGATGGGGACTATTTTCGTGGAATAGAGATACCGCAAAATATTGTTAGTCAAGATTTAACTCATTTCGACAATTGCCTTGGGTTGCATCTGCACTGCAGAATCAATGCTGTTTGACACCGCTTTCACTGCTATGAAATTCTGGGATTTGTAGTTTTATGAGAGATTGAGCCTTCGCTCTCATAGAGCCCTGGTGCCGCAAGAAACTACGAATCCCAGGATCCCATAGGATGGAGCCATGGCAGTATAAATAAAGATTATTATTATTATTATTATTAGTTAAAGCAGCATCAAACTGCCTTAATTCTGCAGTATGACAGCAGATTTAGAACCATAGCGTTGAAAGGGGTGCAAAAAGCCGTCTAGGCTGTTTCTGACTTGTGTTTTACTATTAGGAATATTTAATTATTTTTTTAAAAAAACTTTTGTAACCAGTGTTTTAGCTCTGTCTTTTAAAATTATTGCAACCCACCTTGAATCCCATTGTGAGACCAAGGCGGGATATGAACCCTTGTAATATATAAAATGAATAGAAATGATCTAAGCCCCCGCTTGTGCAGAAACCCATAGGAAAAGCACACCTGAAAGGTGGCCATCCCATCTCTGAAAACCTTCAAGAGAGAGTCCACTGCCTTCTGAATGAATCTATTTTACTATCAGTTTCCGCAGCAAAGACGTTCTTCCTAATGTTTAAGTGGGATTTCCTTTCTTGCAATCCTTGGGTTCATATTTTATGGTAGTCTCTGGAGCAGCAGAAAGCAAGCCGTCTCCGTCTCCAAATGGCTTTCTCTTCCATCCCCAACGGATGGTCCTTGCCATTGTATTTCCCATCCCTAAATATGGGTGTGAGAGCAGGATGGTGAAGAAAGCGGAGAGAAAGAAAATAATCTCACCTGAGATGCGGCGGTGCTGGAGAAGAGTGTTGCGGATACTGAGGATGGCCCAAAAAAGACCAACAAATGGGAGATTGGAACAAATCAAGCCCAAACTCTTCTTGGAGGACAAGATGACTCAGTTGAGGCTGTCCTACCTGGGTCACATCCTGAGAAGGCATGAAGCATTGGAAAGGGCAATGATGCTAGGAAGGTGGAGGGCAGAAGAAAGAGAGGAAGACCACACTCTCTAGCTCAGTGGTCCTCCATTTGTTTGGGACTTCAAATCCCAGATGCCCCAGCCAACTTGGCCAACAGTCAGGAATTATGGGAGCTGAAGACCAAAACATTTCATAGAATCATAGAATCCCAAAGTTAGAAGAGACCCCAAGGGTCATCCAGTCCAACCCCCTGCCATGCAGGAACTCAAAATCAAAGCATCCCCGACAGATGGCCATTCAGCCTCTGTTTAAAGACCTCCAAAGAAGGAGACTCCCCCAAAATCCCCAAGGGAGAGTGTTCCACTGTCGAACAGCTCTTACTGTCGGGAAGTTCCTCCTAAAATTGAGGTGAAATCTCTTTTTCCGTAGCTTTCATCCGTTGTTCTGAGTCCTGTTCTCTGGAGCACCTGAAAACAAGCTTGCTCCATCCTCAATGTGACACCTCTTTCAAATACTTAAACAAGGCTATCATATCCCCTCTTAACCGCCTCTTCTCCAAGCTAAACATACCCAGTTCCCTAAGTCGTTCCTCATAGGGATTCATGGTTTCCAGACCCTTCACCATTTTGCTTGCCTTCCTCTGGACACGCTCCAGTTTTCCAACATCCTTTTTGAATTGTGGTGCCCAGAACTGGACACAGGATTATTCCAGGTGAAGCCTGACCAAAGCAGAATAGAGTGGCACTATGACTTCCCTTGATCTAGACACTATACATCTATTAAGGCAGCCTAAAATCACATTGGCCTTTTTAGCTGCGGCATCACACTGCTGACTCATGTTCAGCTTGTGGTCTACTACTACCTCTAGATCCCTTTCACACGTTTGGAGGACCAAAGGTTGGGAACTAGATGGATAGACTCAATCCAGGAAGCCATGGCCCTAAATCTACAAGACCCAGGCGGGGTGGTTGAAAAGAGGGGGACTTGGAGGTCTCTAAGCCACAGGGTTGCCATAAATCAGGGCAGTTAACAACAACAACAAAGTTCTAATGACTTTACCAGGATTGTTGTGGATTGTGGATGAAAGCTTTCTTTATACGGACCCGGCCGTTGGATTTGGAAGTGGAAGGAAAGTTCCAATCATTGTTTCTAATGCCATGCCAGATCGTTCCATCATTTTTACACTAGGCAGAGCAGGGAGAAAAATGTAAACCTATTTTCTCTCAAGTCAAGCACACTCTTCAGCCCTTGAAGAGGATGTAAACAGACTTCACACTGCTCTGGATTGTAGTCTCAACTTTTAAAGAAGCTTTCCAAGAAGCTGAATCTATCCAAAACTGCTATTTGGAGATGCTTGCTCCTCCACTTTGGATAGCTCCTTTAAAGTTTAAACTTAAACACAGATCCGATACAGAAGCCACCGATAGTCGTGTCTGCAAGAGCCATGCATTGAGGTGACTTACATAGAGACCTAAAGTCCATTAGGTACAGATCAAAGGATCTTAAAAATTAGTCTAAAATTTGCTATGGGAACTTACAAATGAAAAGACCCAGCAGAAAGCAATCAATTAAGAATATTTGTGTTTTATAGATGAGGAATACTGAGGGTAAAATAAATCATTAGAACAGAAATAGTCACAGTAGAATTTATCCGACTTGCTTTTTGGAGACCAGAAACCCTTAGTAATGTTCTGCAGTCTACCCAAAGATATCCCAGGGGTTTCCAATCTACCTTCTGCCCACCACCATTGTAGATTATCAAAGGTTCCTCCACATTATATCGTAGTGCTGGAATTTAAACTACAGAAAGATTCCATTGTAAAGCAACAGTTCCCTCTGGACTGCAGAGAAAAATAACACCAGATATCGAAAGTCCCAGTTCTTCCCACCGAGGAATTAATGCTAGTCTCCATCAGTCATCATCTCCACCTGGCTTTATCCATTAGCCCACCATTCCCATACTTTTGCAAAGAAACAAGCCCATACATGAAAGGAAGAGGCTGGGTGTGATCCGTAGATACAGAACCAAGTCCCATTGCGAAAGAAGTCTCTACTTGCAGGACATGATCCGGAGAAATTCCTCATAGTTGACTTGCCCATCTCCATCCACGTCGGCCTCCTTGATCATGTCTTCTACCTCTTCCTCTGTCAACTTCTCACCAAGCTTGGTCATGATGTGCCGCAGCTCCGCCGCACTGACGTAACCATTGCCATCCCTATCAAACACGCGGAAGGCCTTCCGGATCTCTTCCTCGCTATCGGCGCTCTTCATCCTCACGCTCAGCAAGGTGAGGAACTCTGGGAAGTCGACCATACCATTTTTGTTGGTGTCCAACTTCTTGATCATCTCCTGTAGCTCAGCTTCTGTTGGGTTTTGCCCAATGGATCTCATGACAGTCCCCAGTTCTTGGCTGCTGATGGCACCATCTCCGTCTTTGTCAAAGAGCAGGAAGGCTTCCTTGAATTCAGAGATCTCTTCTTCCGAAAACGAATGGGCAGCCATGGTCTTGTTGTCGGTGGTGTGGTGGTTTGGTAGCTCTCCGACCTGGCTGATCTCTCGGGTACAAAATGAAGAAATGATTCCTCTTTCCTTTCCTTTCCCTTTCTTTTTTTTGTGAGTTGCCAAAAAAGTAAGGGTGTCTCCTTTGGCCCTTTGCCTGGGGATGATCTGATCTTCGGGGAAAGAAAGAGGGAACACCCAAGTTGGGCTTCTCTAGGAACCAACCGAATCGTGAAGATAGAAATAAAAGAAGATCCACACCCCGTTTCGTGATGGAACCCGTCATTCTCGTTTGGGCAAAACATGAGAGAAAGACATGTACACTGAACGCTTTTTGGATTTCTCAACCTGTGCCTGATGAAAAAGAATCTTATTTGAAATTAAAAAGATTTTTTAGAAGTCAAGTCTGGCATGGCATCCTATCATCATAGGATATAGTCATAGTGCAGAATTAAAGCGGTTTGATATCACTTTGCCATGACTCTATCCTACAGCCTCCTGGAATTTGTAGTTTGGTGAGGCACCAGAGCTCTCTGGCAGACCAGGCTGAATACCTATCCAAACTAGAAATACCAGGGTTCTGTAGGACAATGGACGTTTTCACACGGGGCTTTAAACGGAGTCATTCCTACCT